GGTGGCTGTACTCTTCTTGGAGGGCCACTTGAATAACCTCTTCAAGGGTGGTTGACTGCACCCGGAATAGCTGAGTGCGCGCTGTGCCCACTTGAATAACCTCTTCAAGGTTGCTTGACTGCACCCGGAATAGCTGAGTGCGCGCCGGGCCCACTTGAATAACCTCTTCAAGGTTGCTTGACTCCACCCGGAATAGCTGAGTGCGCGCCGGGCCCACTCGAAGGCCGTCCATGAACACTGTCACCTTGATGTGTTCGTTCAGTGGGTTGCCCACTAGGGATGCCTTAAGCTCCCGCATCTCTTGGATGTCCTCGTGCAGCTCGCGCTTCCCTAGTTGGCATGAGAGGAAGCGCGAGCGCAGGCGATACTCGTATTTTGCCGGGAGGAACGCGGCTCGAAGCTGCTCACACAGCTGAGCCCAGGATGTGAAACATCCCGCGTGTACACCCGTAATCCTAGTATCCGTCGCATTCGTGACATTGTCCATTGCCCAGGTAACACGTCGTCTTGGCTCTTTAGTCGTCATTGCGTCCTTTGTGTTGACTGTCGCGATTAACCTGGCCTGTCGTTCGTTATCGCCGTTGTGATCTTCATCATGACGCGTCATCATCGCACTCGGACTTGCATCTGACGCCGGCTTTGACATCACTTGGTCTTCCGCGATGTTGTCCGTGTTCAAAGTTTTATCCACTGTCGACATCGTGTTCACATTCTTGTCCTCTGTCATCATCTCGTCGCGTGCCTTGCGTTCTGCATCCTCTTGACGTCTTCTTGCCGCTCTTGTCATTGGTCGTGATGATACTATCGACACTGGCTGCTCAACAACCTTCCGTTGCCTCGTAGCTCTTGCGTCTGTCATCGTTCTTGGTCGTGTTGTTTTCTTTGATGTTGTGCTTTGTGCTAGCTCGCTTTCTTTGTGTTCCTCGTTGATAGGGTTGTCCTCTCTGGCCCTTACCGCCGAAACCTCTTTCATTAGCTCGCCGCCTCCATCAATACTCGTTCGCACCTCTTTTGTTGTGTTCACTGGCGTCGTGGTCACTTCGACGTCGCCTGTGCCTTCTTCAGTCGTGCCTTCATTTCCGTCGTGGCGCTGTACTCCGAACGTCGCTGTCGTAGTATCACCGTCGTTGTAGAGTGACAATGGTTCCATCGTTGTGCTCTCCGTCATCGCCAACTCCTCGTGCATACCTTCAAAGGCCTCGTTGTTTCTCGGGTGTTTGTCATCCGTACATCTGGACGTAACTACCGCCTCGTCCCGCCAGTCACCGTCCTCACACCGCGATTTGTGACCCTCTGACCGTCCTTCTTTGACTACGCGTCGCCTTCCTCTCCTTCTTTTTCCAGCTGCTGCCAAAACTTTTACCGGAGAGCGAGATAGCGCATCCGCTACCATGTTCGTACTGCCTGGACGATATTCTACTTCAAACTCATATTCTTGAAGAGTAAGAGCCCAGCGATGCAACTTTCCAGTTAGATTCGTACTCGTCATTAACCACTTCAGCGCTGCATGATCTGTGACGATTACAAATTGTCTTCCATGGAGGTAAGGTCGGCATAACTTAATAGACCACACAACCGCAAGACACTCCAACTCTGTGATTCCATAATTTGCTTCTGTGTTGCTATTCACCTTACTTGCAAAAGCCACGGGTTGCCATCCCTTGCCTTGATTTTGCATGAGGCATGCACCGAGCCCAATCTTGCTAGCATCAGTTACCAACCTAAAAGGTAGTCGGAAATCAAATTCACCAACAATGGTTTGCGCGTTAAAATGACTTTCACAAGCTCAAATGCTGCTTCTTGCGCTTCCGTCCATTCCCAATTAGCATCTTTCCGCAAATGTTTGGTTAATGGAGCCATCATAGCGCCAAATCCTTCTACAAAGCGTCTGTAATACCCAGCCAAATGTACGAAACGCTTAATCTCCACAGCATCTTTAGGTCGCGGAAATTCTCGTACCGCTGTCACCAACCTATCCAGTGGGCGAACTCCCTCAGAACTTAATTCGTGTCCAAGCTATTCCATGCTTTCAGTCGCGAATCTGCAGTTCTTCAGTCGTAGAGTAAGACCAGCAGCTGCTAAACGCTGCAATACACAAGTCACTTCCACTACATGCCGTTCTATCCCACCACGAGTGTAAATTACGATGTCATCTAGGTAAACTAAGCATGTGATCCACGTTAGACCTCGTAGAACGCTATTTATCATTCTTTGGAACGTTGATGGCGCATTAGTAAGTCCAAAAGGCATTCGGACGAACTGATACAATCCTTTTTTCGTCGTAAAAGCTGTCTTCTCTTTATCTTTAGCCGCTACTCGAATTTGCCAATACCCCGATCTTAAATCTAGAGTCGTAAATAAGACCGCTCCACCCAATGCTTCCAAAGTTTCATCGATTCTTGGTAAGGGGTAGACATTTTTTCGTGTGATCTTATTCAGAGCCCTGTAATCCACACAGAACCGAATCTCGCCGTCCTTCTTTCTTACCAGAACGACAGGAAATCCCCAAGCGCCATTGCCCTCTTCAATCACGCCTGCACCCAACATCTTCTTGACGTTCGACTCAACCACTGTGTCTTCCGTTTGTGCGAGTCGCCTTCGTTTCAGTAGAATAGGAGCAGCATTTCCTGTATCTATATGATGTTCGACGTTGAGTGTTGTAGCTGGTGGACAATCGCCTTTGTCCGTCACCTGCTCCCTGTAAACTCTTAATAGACGCTTCATGA